GAAACAACCTCTGGGCTGATCTAAGTCAGGGCATGGCTAACTCACAGATAGAACCCTGAAACAACCTCTGGGCTGATCTAAGTCAGGGCATGACTCATACATCGAATTTGAAATAAGAGTCTTCTAAATTAAAACTTTCGAGGAGGAACGAATTAAAAACGGAGATCTCAGAGAAAACCTCTCGAATCTACAAAAGGGACCCAACTAACTGTAATCGTATTTGATACCAAGTCCAATAACCAAACCTATTAATTCCTATCGTTAATTGACAACAAAAACAGTAACTAAGGACTGTTCGGAATGTGATGGAGTACAATACAAACTACTTTGCTTTCAAAATGACAGTAACTAAATAATCTCTATATTATAACCTTATATACCTGTAAGAAGTTTTCCAGTAAGGCGCAGCTCACTTCTTGTTCAATGATGGTTTTATTCTCCTCGTTTTCGTAACACGACGCAATAAACGTCGGGAATAAGATGTTTCGTAACCTGTATAGACACAAAGTAAAACGATTTAATCGAAGCAGTTTTATGACACGAATGACATGGAATTACATGGAAAAGGGAAGAGTCATTTTACTGGTATAGATTATTGTTTTTACTTTGGATGGTGTGGTGTATTGCCACAGGGGGCAGGGTGCAAGTAAAATAATGGGGGAATAGAAGATGATGATGATAATAATAATAATAATAATTATGATGACAACAATGACAATGATAATAATAATAATGATGATGATGATGATGATGACAATGATAATAATGATGATGATGATGAAAATGATAATGACAATGACAATAACAATGATAATGATAATAATATAAATCTTTATTGACTGAGGATACCAAGAACACATACTGTGGTTACACCTGGGTTCTCGTCAAAACAGTCGGCGTCAGAGTCAGTCACAAGGTGTTCAGACCCAACATTTCGTAAAATTATTACTTCTTTCTTAGATTTCTTACCTAGGGTCGCTGAAATACTGGAACGGTAGACCACAAAGTTGTTGGAGAAGAGTTGGGTTTCTGCCAGACTGTATAAATACCTTTGAAACATTGATATCAATATCATAAGCATTAGCATTAGCGTTAGAACTACTAAATATTATATACTCTTAGAATTATGGAAAAACCTTGTTGGATCTTGTTCTTCTTTTTTATTTCTTGCCTTGCCTTGATTTGCTTTAAATTCCATTTTCTTTTTCTCCCCTTTCTATTCCTTTTGCCCTTTCCTCCCTTTCCATTCCATTCCATTTTCTTTCTTTTTCATTTTTTCCCTATTTCTTTCTCTCCTTTTTCCACCCCTTGCCTCACCTTGCATCCCTTTTCTTATATTCCCTTTACTTCTTTTTCCCCCTCATTTCCGTCCCCTTCTCCTCCTCCTCCTCCTATAGTTTATTTTCATCTCCACCAAGCAGTAACATTCGCTTCCAGACTCTTACCTGGTTCTCATTATTCAAGACAGTAAAATATCCAATGACAAGAATGACTTCATGGAGAAGCTCTTCAGGTGTGCCTTCACCACAAATCCTGCAACAACAAAAACAAAAAAACAAAAAAAGAAATTCATAAAGATAAATGAAGGGAATGTGAAGCTTTTTAGTTGGTTCAGAGAGGAAGAATTTTAAAAGTGGATGCACAGGTTTTGCATATTTATCATGGTGATGTGAATGTGTTAACTATTTGAACAGTATGTCTTGTCACTTTGCTTTAACAGATTATCTGATAAACAACAAACAAACAAACAAGTCAAGTCATTTTACGCCATATATATCATTAATAAGGTACTTGCTTACCAAAGTAAATAGCTTAAAATATGTCGAAACTCAAGCGAAACACCTTCACCTCCCAAAGAACTCTGTAACAAAAAGATAATAATAATTAATATGAATATAAAATACCATCAGGTGAGTGTGTCATCATTTGGAAATTTACAAGAGTTCAAACTGACCTGTAAAATCTTGAGATCAAGTTTGGCCATGTTGTTGAGAGCACGTAAACCTTCTGTGGCCACTTTAATTTGATACTCAGGGAGGGACGGCGGGGGAGAAAAATGTCGAGCCTGGCCAGCGGTCATTAACATTGTGTATAATGTAGAAATGATTCCTGAAAAAAAGGAATTGGATGATTATTGCCATAGGAACCCCAAATAGGACTTTTTTTTGAGTTCTTTTAACCACAGGGAGCCCATACTCGAAAGGTCGGTGTTTTTACCACAGGAAACCCAAATAGCAGTCAGGTTTTTCAAATAAAACGTTTGACTGCGTCACCAAAGTATCTCTAAATTAGAATTTTACTGCAAAGCATTGAAAGAATGAAATTAAATCACTTGAGACTAGTATTATTTAAAAACCCAAACGACAAAAAAATATTTAACAGAAAAATACAACGGAAAGGAAAGGAAAGAAAAACAAGAAAGAAAAAAAAAAAAAAAGAAAAGAAAAGAAAAGAAAGGAAAAAAGAGGAAAAGTACCGAGTTCAAGTGTTGCGTTACAAAACGTGACGTTCACGCCACTTAATTCTTAAATCTTGGATGGCTATGTTGCTATATCATCATAATTATAACATATAATAAAATATTTAGACGATAATTCAAGTCTTTTCCGGATATCATGAAAGTATCCATAGTTATTTATTCAGCATTAGTAATATCTTTTTAAAATATAAAGTGGTTTGGTACGTGCTCGTGAATATTTTTGCATAAATTACTTTGACTTATTCTCGTTATTTTGAAAATATATATAAATTTAGTCTTTTTACGAATAAATTATTTAATATTTAAAATTAATATAAATTATCAAAGCAATGATATTATCAAAAGCAAATAAAAATCGAAAAAAAATTAGATCGCCCAACGTGGGGCTCGAACCCACGACCCTGAGATTAAGAGTCTCRTGCTCTACCGACTGAGCTAGCCGGGCTATCGTTATCGATAAAACTGTAAAATCGATAATTATTGGTTAATGTGGTAGCTATCTTTCGCCAAACGCCGCAACATGAGCTAGGAATTCGACGGTAAAAGAAAACGAAAAGCTCACCAACAAGTTCTGTTTGCTGGAACGTCATGACAAACTGCGTAGCATCTTCTTTCTTGGTTTCAAAAACACCGCTACTTCTGCAAATAAAACATTTAGATTTCTGAACTCGGTTTTAGAAACATCATATTAAACATCTTGGTAAAGTCTGGCCTTAAATATAATTCCTTTTTTACAGAAAATACAATAGCATTTTATTTTGCTTGACGTTTATTGAGTCTACTCGACTCTCAACTGGGACTTGATTGGAAATTATGAATGGCGAAAGGAATTGGGAATCTTACGGATTACATAGAACCCCTTCAAATTTCATAGATACCGAAACAGCCTAGGGCAAGGCTAACCCACACACTTAATTGAAATTAATCTCGTTAGGTTTTGCTGATAAAATTTGGAGTATCCGGACAAAAACCTTCAAATCATAGATTAGAATAATTCTCCTATTTCACGTTACGTTATCGCGGCCTCTCGTGGGAGCGTTTGTACATTGAACAAAAGATTTCGGACTAGTACACAGTACGACTTGCGTAACATTAAAATAGCTTCACATAAGAGTGGATATCGTATGAATGGGAAGCATACGGTACTTACTTACAGCATGTACACGAAACGACTTGCGTAACATTCAAATAGCTTCACATAAGAGTGGATATCGTATGAATGGGAAGCATACGGTACTGACTTACAGAATGTACACGGTATATGTATAACATACCGTAACATTGAAATGGCTTCCCATTGTCTTCCAGTAATTCATCCAATAACAACCTGTAGTTACGGTAAGATACGGTACGGCCAATACGACTACGTCTTTCTCGTATCGCGTTTCCCACTCATTAGAAAACCGCTCTATATTTCGTTACAATGTTATTAAGCAAGTACCTTGAACCGAGGTAATACGCTATGGAAGACAGTAGTTTGATGCAGTTGTGAACCATATCCATCATGGATGGTTCTTCGTCCAATGGTTCTTGAATAGAGCTAAGAAGCGCTCGGATGTCGTCAATCAGATCTGAACATACGATATAGCTGATAAAACAGAAAGAATTTTTTTAAATTTACTGTGTCTTCTTATTTGCCGTTTTTTCTTGGGGGAGGGGGAGGGGTAGCTAAAACAATTTCATAAGCGTTGATGCTTGGAGGGGATACGAATCCAATGTACCTGACAAGATCAAGATTTCTTTGATTCGCGCTGGAAGAATTCTTGTCATCTTTGGGAGACTGGGCAAGAGAATCCATGACTGTTGCTAGGAGACCCAATAAAGCTGTGACAAGAGTGTCGCCTAGACGACGAGGCGAGGCATCCTTAGTCTCCTTGTCGGAAGTCTTCTTATTAGTTTCAGGCGTTGGGGGCTTTGTACAGACGTTCTGAAAGATATAAAAAAAGAAAAACAGTAAATAAAAAAATAAAATAAATAAAATCGAACCGTTATCTCCCCAATCCGAAAAGGAGTGTGATAGTATCAGTATAAATACGCAATAAGTGGAACGGTGATAACAGAAAACATGTAAACAGTTCTTAGCGTTAAAAATTTCTTAGGAAGTCATTATAACAGCAATGGTTACAATATGCCCCTTTAGCTTTGGCGTAATGTCTTCCCACTTCAGACCACGTGTCATTCTCTAGAGAATAAGATTCTTTGTTTGAGTTGTATCCATATTTATGTTTCTTCTCATGCGCAACCGCTAAAGAAAGGAATGATACTCTAGGGAATGACACGATGTCCGAAATGGGAAAACATTACCCCAAGCTGAATCGATCTATTACCCGTAACTGGTAGGCAAGGAGATCTATAGCAGAGGCCAGCTTGTTGGTGAACACCATATACTGACTAGTCTCTTGACAGTCCAAACATGCTTGTGTCGATGCGTGTATCACGTGACAAAGAACCCTAAAAAATATCAAGAAGACTTTGTAAACGCAGAAGGAATGGAGGTTTTGCACCATCACGTGACGACAGCCATGTTAGATGGCAGGAACAATACAATCGTTTTACATGAGAAAGAATTCAATTCCCGAGACAAAAGGGATTTTATTGTTCTGCCATCTAACCACAGATAGCCCAAGCTGTATTTTGGGCGTGATTACTTTGATTACTGACAGCCTTATCTGCAAATAATGTCAGTCCTTTTCTTTGAAGGAGACAGGAGGGTGAACTCGGCAGCAGCTTAAGGTGCATGGGCTTTAGGGGGTGAGGGAGGGGGTGTGATGCAAAGGTTGAGGTATGGGTGTCTCCTCATGGCAAATTCTGGGTAGGCCCCTGGTATACAGCTATTCATTGTAAATAATTATTTAAAACATATTCATAAATCTTTTTTTTTTACATAATATATATTTTTATATTATTTTATATTATACTCACCGATTCGATATAACAGGAGTAGAGGAAGGTTTTGTGCCGGATATGTCAACAACTGATAGCACTTGGGATAACGCAGACAGACCACCGAGACTACAAAATGTAAATTTATCGACCTTTTCCTACAGAAAAGAGAAAAGTATTAATGATAGGTGGTGTGCGCACAAAATAAGACTGTTCTCACTAGTTTCAAAAATGGAAGAAAATGAAGAATCAGGAAAAGAACCCTCGAATTAAGGGAGAGACTCAACAAACTTTACTTACATGTAATATTGAGTCTGGGAATTGAACCCATAGGTGTGAGAAGGAAGTGCACAACCACTACACCTTCCTTGACTCATTCCTTTGGACCTTTATCACACGACGGCCAAGTTTATTCTCATGAGCATAACAATTTTTGTTTCACCCAAATGAATTTATTCTCAAGCACTTGAATGCGCGGCTACGCGTGGTGGAATATATTGTTCAAACCAACATGGCTGCAGCGTGAAAAAGGACCATAATCAAGTATTTAGTAAACCTTGGATTATGTACGGGATTATTGCTGTCTTACCTCTAATATTCTCATGAGTTCCCCAACAGATCTATCCAGGGATGAGACACGACTGGAAGGCCAGGGACCTGATCCTTGCACTTGTAAATATCGATTGAGATCTTTGACTATTTTCTGCAGCCTGCATTTCAAAAAAGTAAGTTAAGTTAGTATTTTAAGTTAACGTAAATATGGATCAGCAGCAGCAACAGCAGTAATAGCAACTGCAATAACAACAGCAGCAGCAGTAGGAACAGCAGCAGCAACAGCAGCAGCAGTAGCAACAGCAGCAGCAACAGCAGCAGCAGCAGTAACAACAGCAGTAACAACATCT